CTCGTAACTGAACTTGCTCCCCTCCCAAAGAAAACACCCCCACTTGCTTTGAAGAGTAAGATATACAGGGGCGCCTAGGTGCCTCAGTCAGTTGAGTGTCAACTTTGGCTCAGGTCATGATCTCAGGGTTTGTGGGTTCGAGCCCCGTGTTGGGCTCTGTGCTGACAGCTCAGAGCCTGGAGCCTGCTTTGGATTCTGTGTCTCCCTCTCTCTCCCCCCCTCCCTTGCCTGCCTAAAAATGAATAAACATTTTTAAAATTTTAAAGAAAAAGAGTAAGACATACAAAAATAAATACCATGTTGGGGCGCCTGGGTGGCTTAGTCGGTTAAGCGTCCGACTTTCCGACTTTCGCTTAGGTCATGATCTCACCGTTTGTGGGTTCGAGCCCCGCGTCGGGCTCTGTGCTGACTGCCAGCTCGGAGCCTGGAGCCTGTTTCAGTGTGTGACTCCCTCTCTCTCTGTCCCTCCCCTGCTCACGCTGTCTCTCTCTCCTAGAAATAAATAAAACATTTAAAAAATAAATAAATAAATAAATACCATGTTTACATTGATGTGGTTTGTGACTTCCAATCAACAAAACGAGAAAACGTGAGGGACTTGGGAAGAACATAATGGTTCAGTCCCTTCCCATGGCAGCGACTTGGGTGTTGAACTTTCCCACTGTGCCACTAGCAATTCCAAACTACCGAGAAAGGCATGGAACCAGCAGTGGACAGTGATCTTCCTGGGCCTGAGGCCTCTCCCCTGGGCAATGATCAACACCTACTGTTACCTACAAAAGCAACAGGGCTGCCTTCAGGTATCAGCAGCTCAGGAAAACAAGCTAGAGGGGACAGGGACCTGCTAGTCACTGTCCTGAGAGGTCAGTCGGTCCCTATACTCTATTGCACTGCCATTGAAGAATGTTGCATCAACCTGTTGTGGTGTTTTGTTTTTTTTAAGATTTCATTTTAAAGTAATCTCTACCCTCCATGTGGGGCTCAAACAACCCCAAGATTAAGAGTCGCATGTTCTACTGACTGAGCCAGCCAGGAGTCCTAGGGTATTTTGTTGTTGTTGTTTTGTTTTCCTTTAAGCTAAGTTTAAAAAAAAATTTTTTTTAAACTTTTTATTTTTTGAGAGACACAGAGAGAGAGAGAGAGAGCATGAGCAGGGGAGGGGCAGCGAAAGGGAGACAGAATCCGAAGCAGGCTCCAGGCTCTGAGCTGTCGGCACAGAGCCCAATGTGGGGCTCGAACCCACAAATGGTGAGTTCATGACCTGAGCAAAAGTTGGACACTCAACTGACTGGACCATCCAGGCTTCCCAGGAGACAGATCTTTTCAAAAAGATCCTTCCTGTCTGCACTGCCTGGAAGCACAGCAAAGTCTCGTGGTCACAGAGGACAGACAGCAGGTGAGGTGACAGACAAAAGCAGCCAGCCCTGACTGGCTTTGGGAGTGTTTGCTGGAGAATGGAGAGGCATAGGGCGGAGCACGGAAACCATTCAGGGGCAACTGAGTCAGAAAGGTGGTGTAGGGGTGTGTGTGTGTGTGTGTGTGTGTGTGTGTTTTAATTTTGAGCTAATTTTAGATTTACAGGAGAGTTGCAAAGGTAAGACAGAGAGTTCCCATGGGCCCTTTACCCAGCTTCCCAGATATGTACCCCCTCCCCATGTAACCACCATATAGTGATGAAGACGAAGAAATTAACATTGCCGCGATGCCATTAACTCATCTACAGACCTCAGCTGGAGTGCACGGTTTCCCCAGTGCCCGCTTCCTGTCCCGGAAACCCCTCTGGGATCCCATTTTGCACTTCCCCACTGTGTCTCCTTAGTCTCTTCCCATCAGAGACTGTTTCTCAGTCTTCTCTTGCTCGTCTTGACCTTGACAGGATTGGAGAGCGTGTCGGTTTGCTCTGGCTGTTTGTACGGATGCGCGGTATTTGTAAAACTGTTGGGAGGAGGGATCCTGGCCGAGGGGGTAGAGCGGATGCAGTTTTCACGTGGCCTACAGGTTAAGAATGGTTTTCATAATTTTCAATGGTTGAAAAAATTCAAAAGGAGGTGATTTTGTGATATGTGGAGATTATCGTGAAATCCAAATTTCAGTGTCCATTAAGAAACTCAGTTGGAACACAGCCACAGTCATTCTTTTCCGGATGGTCTATCGTTGCCGGTGTATTCCAATGGGCAAGTCAAGGAGGTGTGACAGAGCCATTCGGCCTGCAGAGCCTGGACATTTACTCTCTGGCCCTTTACAGAGAAAGTCCACCGACCCCAATGGAGAGAGCCTGGCGGGACCTGGTGCTCACTTTTGCTCTAAAGCAAAGGCAGCTATTAAAGAGCTCTGAGTTCATCCATCCATTCTACAGATACTTATTGAGGCCCCATTGTTAAACCCAGCAGACACCTCTATTTAAACAAGTGCTAACAAAGCTAACGCTCCGGAATTGGAGGAGGTTAATGCTCATCAATCATCTGCCCAGGTCTCGGGTACAGGTGTCCCGTAATAATAATAGTCACTGCCCTGTTGTGAGCTCTGCCTTGTGCTGGTAACACTACTCGCACCCTCTCCTTTAACGCTCTCAATCACCCAGCAGCTACTCCAGGAGGAAACTGAGGTTTAAGAGATTAGCCACACCCAAGGGTACATAGAGAGCCACCAAATGTAAGGGGCAGAAAATGAGCCGTCAAGCCCCTGGGCATCAGAGCAGATGGTGTGCAAACAAGCCCCTTGTCATGCTTGGGAAGAGCCGAGGGGGTGGGCTGGGGAGGCTCCCGGTGGTTCCTAGACTCTAGAAGCAGCAAACCAGGATAGCTGGGTTGGTCAGTAGCCAGAGACGCCATCTGAAACAGCGTTCTTCCAAAAGAGCATCACAGTCTTCAGTGTTTTGTCCCTGAGTCTTGATGCACAAGCCCAACAATTATACTTCTTTGGTCTTTCCTCACTCCCCCTCTGGCATCACTGCTCTACCACGCACACCGCTGGAGAGTCTGAGTGCTCTGCTCCCTCGGCAGGAAGGCTGTCTTCCACTTCCTCCCCTGGGTGGGGATGTGGATGTCCCAGCAGGTGGCCTGTGTGGCCATCAGGCGGGGCCTGCCAATGTTGGGAGACAAAGGGGCTTCTGGTGCTGAAAGGTGCACAGGTCCTCTCCGTGTTGGTCAAACAGGTTGAGAGACACCCAAACAAAAGCACCTGCAGAAAGGGGCCCTGAAGGTGAGAAGGGCGCCCAGTGGCCGAGCTGGGCTGGGAGCAGTTGGGAACGCTATTGACACGAATCCTGCCGTCCCCTGGGGTTTTGGCCTTCCTGGATGAACATCAGAGCCAGGGCCTCCCCTCCCTGTACTGACTTGGAGATGCAGGAAGATCAGCACAGAGGGAGCACCTCGGCCACAGTGTGAAGGCGGTCCCAGCTCACGGATCCAGCCACAGGTGGTCCAGCTGGTCACTGGCCAGTTCTGCTCAAGGCAGTGATTGCAATACATGTAGCCGATCAGAACAAAATCACGGTGTGCCAGATTTAATTTAACCAGGAGCCCCTGGTTGGTGTCCGGACAGCATTCCATTCTGAGTAAATTTTGAAGAGAACAAGTCATCTGAGAGTTTCCTGTTCCCTAAAATGTCCCCAGGAACTTTTTAACTGGCTTGGTAATACGTCTCCTAAGCCCTTAGCAGCTGCAAAATTGATTCATAAGGCATGGTGGGTTTTTTTGGTCTTGTTTTGTTTTGCCTTTTTAAAAAAAAAGGAACAAGACGTAAACCAGGTTGCAAAGCCCTGGCCACACAACCCGATAGAAGATGCCTGCGGAGCCCTGGCCCACGCTGTCCATCCCAAGGTCACCGTGACACAGCCAGGTTTGCGGTGGATGGTTCTGTTCTATGTTCAAAGACTCACTGAGGCCATGTCTCCAAGTGGACACCATGAAGCAGGGAGGGCCCAGTGCATGAAGGACGACACTACTGTCACCTACTTCTCTTGCACAGACTCTGCTCCTGAAGAAGGGCCTTTAGGGGACCAGAGATGTCATCTCACGTGCCAGAGCCTCTGGGGAGGGACCTGGTTTGGGTGGGAGGGTGCGATGGGCTAAGCATGTGCAGAGAATAACATCTGGCACTTGGGTCTGAATGAAAACTCATCACTGATAACAAATCTCTAAAATCAGACCATGACTTTCATCTGTTTACATAATGTCAGTGCTCTAGTCTCAAGGTCAAAACACCACTGAAAACTTAGCAATGTTTCCTAAATATCCCCTGAGCTGGGGAGGCTGGGCCCCATTTGTGCCTACTACATGTCTGGAAGCCCTGGGAGGGAGCGTGAGGCCAGGGATCACCCATGCTAGTCAGCGGGGGAGAGGAGGGGAGGGGAGGGGTGAGAGGGAAGAGAAAGGGAGGAGAGGGGAGGGGAGGGGAGGGAAAGGGAAGAGAGGGGAGGGGAGGGGAAGAGAGGGGAGGGGAGGGGAAGAGAGGGGAGGGGAGGGGAAGAGAGGGGAGGGGAGGGGAGGGGGAGAGGGGAGGCTCACAGACTCCAGTTGGTGAGTTCTGCCCCCACTCCCGGGCCTGGCCGGGTGGTTTCTGGTCCAGGTGCAGCACACACAGGGCCCCAGGGGATGCTCTTTTGCATTCTCTCTGGCAGTTGCCGCCAGGGTTAAGCATGGCCAGTGAAGCTCTTCATAACGGCCACGCACAGCTGCTTAGTTGTTTTGCTGATGAGAAGGCAGGAGCAGGGACTCCCAGGAGCCCAGAGCACCCAGCACCCCCCACCAGTCAGACAGCAGGCAGGGGTGATCCCCATTAAACCACATTATGCCAAGGGGCTGGGTGGCACCTGAGGGGAAGTGACTACAGCTGCACGTGTCCCTGGGAAGGGCCGCTGCAGGTGCAAGCCTTCTCTGCACCCAGGGACCACACCACCTCCGTGTCCTGTTCAATCCCGCGCAGGCGGCGCTGACTTAGATGGAGCAGAAAGCCAGGGCGGGGTCTCCAGCCACCATTTACATCCAGCTGCCAGTGTGTCTTTTGCCTCCAGCCACTTTTCTATTTGAGAAACAGTGGAATGTCCAACTTTGTGAATTCCACTGCTTAACAGAAATTTGCTTTTAATGTCTAAATGTTCCAGAGATGACAGTGGGGGGCAGGGAAATACAGGGAAAGCAGCGCCTCTTGGGAAGAAAAAAAAAAAAAAAAGAAACAACAAACCCCGCGCACACACACAGTCCTTTGTGCCTCAAGCATTCCTTACAACTTCGCTGACCATAGGATCTTGTCTGAAATCTTGTGAAATGGTTAGGCCAAGAATGTCAGTCGCGAATATTTCTGCAGTGATTTCGTCTGGAAGTTGTTCTTCAAAGCAGATTTCTGAACCTAGCCAAACAAGAAAACAAAACAAATGCCTTCAGAATGATGAGGTTTGTAACTCAGAAGCGCATTCCAAAAATACAAGGAACCGATACTGAACAAAAGTGAGAGGTGCTTTGTGCTACAGCTTGGCTGGGAGTCCTTCAACACCCCTGGGTGGAAATTGGCTAAAATCCCCCCTGCACGGTTTGGAGCACTGTTACCAAATCTCTGTGAACTTCCCTGGAAAGCCTTCAACCACATGGTATGGTTGATTTACTGTTTGGAGACACCTAGGAACCCAGTGTAGGTTATGGTCTGATGTCCTGAGTACACAGGGAATGGGGGAGGGGAGCTTGGAGGTTCAAAATGACTCACCAGATACTGGAGTCTAGAACCGTCTGAGATCAAGAACTCTGTTTCATGCGAAACTGGGGATGGCCAGTAAGGAGAGAGGGAGAAGGAAGCCCGGCAAGGGGTCTCTGCTCCTGACCCCAGTCTCGGTAGCGGTGATGGGCTTTGACCACCATGGGGCATTGGGCAGCGTCCTGGGCCTGGCAGTGGTGATGCCCCGCAGGCCTGGGAGAGCGGTTTAGACGGGTTCGTCCAGAGCTTAAACTCCCAACCCTAATTGCGGGTCCATTTCCCTCCCCCTAGAGGATTAGAGAAGAAGGTGAGCAATCCTTAGGCAGGAAAGGAGGATGAGCTTTAAAAACCTCCAAGCACTGGCAGCTTGAAGTCGGGCTTGTGCCTAGTTGTAGCCCTGTCCTTCTTCAAGTCTCTCGACAAAGTCTCCTCTGAAACACCTTCCAAGCTGTACTTCCCCCAGGGGCCAGTACTCAGGCACACAAGCTGAGAAGATGAAGACCGGGTCAGTTGAATAAAGGGGGGACGAGGAGGAATAAGACCCAGAGGATGGACGAGACACGGCAATCAAACATGGCGCCTCTCACGGGTCCTTTCTCGCTCACGTTGGGGCCCCGGCGGACTTGCTTTGTTGTACACACGGTATTATGGAGGATGGCTTGCACTAGGCAGGAGGAACAAATACGCTTAAGTCTATGACAAATTAGTGAGCCACGGCTGCAAGCCCAGGCAGAGTCAGGAACGGTACCTTTGACGGAGGAGGCTGCGGGCTCAGATTTCCACCCCTCAGGATTCAGTCCAAACAGCGTAGCGAAGCAGTCACACATCTCCTCCTCTGTCATGTGCTCACCTGAGTATCGTTAAAGGAAAGAGTGTCCATTCCCGCTCTTGGGGCTATGCATAATGTCAGAGCTTAGCATCGTCATTCCAAGGTCTTCAAAGAATTATTCCATGATTTCCTTTCCTTGGGGCACAAAAACAATCTACAGAGTCCTACAGAGTCACATATCCTTCCTTATATGAGGTTAAGACTGGTGTTTCATGGAGGGGAAGTCTGCTGGGGCTTGTATGGAGAGTAAGACAACTTTCTTTTTTTTTTTTTTTTTAAGTTTGTGTATTTTGAGAGAGCGTGAGTGGGGAAGGGGCAGAGAGAGAAGGAAACAGGAGAGTCCTAAGCAAGCTCCACACACTGGCAGCGCAGAGCCTGATGCGAGGCTTGGACTCGCCAAATCGTGAGATCATGACCTGAGCCGAAACCAAGAGTCAGACGCTTAACCAACTGAGCCACCCAGAAGCCCCTAAGACAACTTTCTGATCAAGACTGGCCTCAGCTTGGGATGCCTGGGTGGCTCAGGGGCATCTGAGCTTCTGACTTCGGCTCAGGTCATGATCTCATGGGTTTGTGGGTTCGAGCCCCACGTCGGGCTCTGTGCTGACAGCTCAGAGCCTGGAGCCTGCTTTGGATTCTGTCTCTTCCTCTCTTTCTGCCCCTCCCCTGCTAGTGTACCCTCTCTCAAATATAAATAAACATTTAAAAAAAATTTTTTTTAAACAGACTGTGTTCAGCTTCATTTCATGTTCCCTCACACTAGAACCACCAGCTTGATGAAGAGGAAACTGTCACCCAGAGAGAAAGCCTACTTGACTTCCTCACATGAAATGTTGAGGAGAACAGTAGATTAAGAGAAAAAATTTTACAGTGGTGTGGTTTTACCTCACAATTGCATCCCAGTGTCATAATAGCCCTGTGACATTGGTGGATAGCACTTTTACTCCCATTTTATAAGCAAGGATACTGACTCTCCCAGAGGTTCAGCAAGTTGGAACACAAATCAGATTCTTAGGGACCCAGGATAGTGCCTTCCCCATCACCCTGTGTTTGCCAGCTCTGTGGGTCAACAGATGGCATCCCCCATGGTTGAAGCCCCCATCTGATTAAAGGTGTCAGGGGGTCGGGGCGCCTGGGTGGCTTAGTTGGTGAAGCGCCTGACTTTAGCTCAGATCACGATTTCACGGTCTGTGGGTTTGAGCCCTCATGTGGGGGTCTGTGCTGACAGCTCAAAGCCTGGAGTCTGCTTTGGATTCTGTGTCTCCCTCTCTCTCTATCCTCCCCCACTCACACTCTGTCTTTCTCTCTTAAAAATAAACATTTTTTTAAAAAAGTTTGCCAGGGGGTCTGCCTCCCCAAAGGCAGTTCTCTCCAGTGGGAATGGCCCAAGAATGTGACAAGATATTCCCTATTTGTGGATTTACCTTTCGTTAGAAGCAGTTTTAGGAAGTCTTCTCTTCGTATAACCTTCTTTCCGCTTGAATTGGTAAAACCGAGGACGTTAAAGCTATCCTGAATGCCACGCATGGTGTTACCAAAAGGTGGTCTGTGATTGAGGTAAACTTTAAAGAAATCTGGTAAGTTGATTTTGTCAATTAGCTTTCCAGTGTCCACATACTCACTAAATCTGACTTCATTAAACATATCTTCAATCTAGGGAAGAGGTTAAAAAAAAAAAAGACCGTGGTAAGCAGAAAAGACACTTTAATATACTTCTAAAAATTGGACAGTCGCAGACAAATGTTTACAGTTAGTTGAAAACATGTCTAAGGGTTGATTATATCCCCCAAGAAAGAGATGCTGAAGTCCTAACCCCCAGGACCTCATATTGTGACCTTATTTAGAAATAGGGCCATGGCAGATGTAATTAGTTAAGATGAGATCATACTGGAGTGGGATGGGCCTAGTCCACTGTGAATGGTCTCCTTATAAGAAGAGGAGAAGACACACAGGGAGGGGATGGCCACGTGATGATGGAGGCAGAGAGTGGAAAGACGCAGTTCAAACCCAGGACTGCTGGTAACCACCAGAAACTAGAAGTGAGGAGGGAAGGAAGGATTCTCCCCTACAGGTTTCACAGAGAGCATGGCCTACTGACAGCTAGATTTATTCTGTGGGGAAATAAGTCTCTGTTGCTTTAAGCCACCCAGTTTGTGATGTTTTGTTACTGCAGTCCTAATACAGTGGCTGGTTTTTCAATACTATTAACACGGCTACATTATTATCACCTCTTACCTATCAACTACTTTCTTCCTTTGTGAGGCAGATGTTAGTTTCATTTAGAAGGTATTATCCTCACAAATTTAGAAATTAGCTTATAAACTCAGTTAAGTGTCCAACTCTTGATTTTGGCTCAGGTCATGATCTCAAGATCATGTGAGATCGAGCCTTATGTTAGGCTCCACGCTGACAGTGCAGAGCCTGCTTGGGATTCTCGGTCTCCCTCTCTCTCTGCCCCTCCCCAGCTCTCTCTCTCTCAAAATAAATAAACATTAAAAAATAAGCAAATAATTCAGATGAAACTCAAATATAGGACCAATGGCCCTAGTAAGTTTCTTAAAACAATTAACTGCACCAAGATTCACTTTTCCTTCTTCTCTTTACCATTTTTATTATGCAATATTTTGCATATACAAAAGACTTTATGTAACTTATGGGGTATAACTAAAAAGTGAACACCTAAGAAGCCATCATTCATTGAAAAGTTCAACAAAAGTGATAAATCTTTAGCTAGAATAACCAAGAAAAAAAGAGAAGAGACTCAATTACTAAAATCAGAATTGAAAGAGAGAACACCAGTACCAACCTCTCAGAAACAGAAAGTACAAACAGCATGTTCAATTATAGTTCATTTGTATGAATCTGTAACTGATGATGTTACAATGAGATAACTTAAATGAAATGAACACATTCGTAGCAAGACACAAATGACCAAAACTGACTCAAGAAGAAATAGAAACTCTGAATAGACCTGTAACAAGTAAAGAGATTTAAAACTTCCACAAAGAAAAGCCAAGGACCAGATGGCTTCACTGGTGAATTCTACCAAATATTTTTTAAAATACCAATTTTCCACAAATTCTCATCACCCCCCTAAAAAAACCCAAAAAAACAAAAAACAAAAGAAAAGGGAACACATCCCAATCCATTCTATGAAGCCTGCTTCCTGACTTGGAAATTCATTGTGTATTTTCCAAATTTTCTAGAATGACAAAGGATGCTGCTCAATCTGTGGATTCAAACAGAAATGTGGTACCTGTTAATGCGGGTCTCCACATAGGTCTCCTTATGTAACTGCCAGAAGACAGGACAGGGAGAAATATAAAACAAACAAAACCACTCCTCACAGCCATCCATCTCTCCCTCTGCAGTACTTTAATACCATGCACACTGCAGTTGGATGAAATTCAGATACTCAAATTATGCCCAGCAAAGGGCTAGAAATGAGTAATTTATTTTAATATCTATAGTAAAAATTTTTAAATAATGTTTACTTTAAAATATTTAATTTAAAATAACATTATTTAAAATAATGTTTATTTATTTTTGAGAGAGACAGAGACAGAGCATGAGCAGAAGAAGGGCAAAGAGAGAGAGAGGGAGACACAGAATCCAAAGCAAGCTCAGGCTCTGAGCTGTCAGCACAGAGCCCGATACGGGGATTGAGCCCATGGACTATGAGATCATGACCTGAGCTGAAGTCGGATGCTTAACTGACTGAACCACCCAGGTACCCCTTTAATATCTACATTTTAAACCAATATGTGTCCTAACAAGTTGTGGGGCTTGGCATTTTACAAAGAGAGGGAATAAGAGCCACAGAAAAGTAGGAAGTAATTTTTTTTTCTAGAACATGAACTCTGCTTTCATTTGTAGGAATGAATCAGGAATTGAATCTATATTTGTACATAATATTTATCAATAGGTAACTAATTTCTCCTGTCCAATAAATTACATAGAACAAAAATCAGAAGAGTACCATCTTGAAGAAACACCAAGTATCAACCTATTGGGGGCACCTTCATGTCTTGGTATGGCCCCCAACTATTAAGAAAACAAAAATATCTTTGGAGTCCAACCATAATTTCCATAAAAGATCTGAAGCACTTTCTTTCCATTTCCCCCCACCATGTGCCTAAAATATACATGTATATGTTTAGCAAAATTCTTCTCATATATGTATATAATTTAGTAGCCTGCTCCCCCCCCAATACTGTATCTTAGTAATCACCTAGTATTTTCAAAGAAGCCATATATTTTCAATGCAACATTCCAGGAATGGTCCTTGGACATAATATCATCAATTACAGATACAAATGAACTACAATTGATACTATATAAGTAGCTTTAAATTGTAACATCTGTGTATGGAATATTCACTGAGTTTATATTATGTACAGTTGCAAGTTAAATTATGTATAATTTTAGTTATAAATAAAATATTATCCACTATCATATCATTTATACTTTGTACTACATAATTTTAATAGTATTATTATAAACATGTGCTACTATTTACCATGGGTCTCTGCTATGAGTAGAGGCTGGGGCTAAAAGCATGATCTTTGATGATAGACCTAGGTTCAAAGTCTGGTGCTCCCATTTTCTCTGTGACCTTCTCAACTTCCTTATCTTGAAAAAGAGGGTTATGGAGTTTTGAAGTTTACCAAGACAATATATTTAAGGTGCTAAACATAATGCCTAATACACAGTAAGCTCTCAAAAGGCAGTAACTATTCTTGTGATTATACTTTCTATGCCTTTGCTAATTACGATACATATAATTATAATTATAGTTGTAAATTTATAGCTATAAATTATAGTTATAAATTATGAATTATACACATAATTTATAATTACATAAATAATATAAATGTATACACATTATAAATGTAACATATGACTTAACTCAATTCGAAATATAAGCCTAGGGGCGCCCGGGTGGCGTAGTTGGTTAAGCGTCCGACTTTCGCTCGGGTCATGATCTCGCGGTTCGTGGGTTCGAGCCCCGCGTCGGGCTCTGTGCTGACTGCCAGCTCAGAGCCTGGAGCCTGTTTCAGTCTGTGACTCCCTCTCTCTCTAACCCTCCCCTGCTCACGCTGTCTCTCTCTCTCTCTCCTAGAAATAAATAAAACATTTAAAAAAAAAAAAAAAAGAAATATAAGCCTAACCTAAAGATACCAAAAAGAAACTCAAAAGCGGGAGTTACTCATACCCAGAGCATTCCAAAGATCTCAGAGAACATTCTCAGCACAAACCATTGAGTAGGTGATTCACCTCTTACTCTCTTTTCCCATATGACTGATCAAGAATCACAGCTTGAGGGGTGCCCGGGTGGCTAAGTCGGTTAAGCGTCCGACTTTGGCTCAGGTCATGATCTTATGGTTCGTGAGTTCGAGCCTCGCATCAGGGTCAGTGCTGACATCTCAGAGCCTCCAACCTGCTTTGGATTCTGTGTCTCTCTCTTTGCCCCTCCCTCCCTCCCTCAGTCTCTCTCTCTCTCTCTCTCTCAAAAACAAATAAACATTTAAAAATTTAAAAAAAGAATCACAGCTCAGAAAACAAAGTTGGAAGCTTTGGCATGACATTTCTTTCCTGAGCCTTCTTTGCAAGTATTGGTTGGAAAGGCAGGTTCTGCTACATGTCTAAACAAAGTTCACGCTTGGGAGAGGAGCCTTGGAGATGGAATGGAGCACCGAGGGCCTTCCCTACGCCTCAGTTGCCCTGCCTCTGCTTGGCTTCAGCAGAGCCCCTTTGTTGGCTTCTCACAAAGCCACTGGCCCCCCCTCCACTAAGCCAGTGCTTCACTTGAGTCACCTGGGGAGCTTTAAACACTCTGAGCCCCAGGCCCCATTCCCTGAGATCCTGACTTCATGCGTCTGGCGTGGAGTATGAGCAGTTACATACTATCGAAGCTCCTCGGGAGATCAGAATGCACGGCCAGGGTTGAGATGCACGGCTTTAAGGCAGGGGTTCTCGAGCTTCAAGTTTCATCAGGGGTCAAAATGACCAGGCGCACTTATTAAAACGGACAGTGGTCCTGCCCCCAGAGGTTCTGACTCACGGAGTCTGGGACGGGGCGCCAAGAATCTGCCTTTCTTACAAGCTGGTGCTGCTGGTCTGGGGAAACACTGCCCTTAGACCACATCACTTCTGCAGAGGTGATACTGGTGCCAACAGGAACCGGCACCGGGCTTGTGATTTTCCCTGGAGAGGAGTGGTGGCCGGCAGCGGTGAGCTTGTTCTCGCTTTGGGCCCACACCTCTCTCCTCCATGAAGCTTCAGCAATCGCTTTCCTGTCTATTTCCTCCGCTTCTTCAGAGCCTGGTGGTTGTAGGGACCCAGAGAAATAAGGAAACAAAACAAAACAAAAAAGCAAACAATGCAGGCAAAAGTGAGATCATGGGAGAATTTTTCTTAAAACATACAAAAGGCTGGGGGGCCTGGGTGGCTCAGCTGGTTCAGTGTCCGACTTCGGCTCAGGTCATGATCTTACGGTTTGTGGGTTTGAGCCCCACGTCAGGGTCTGTGCTGACAGCTCAGAGCTGGGAGCCTGCTTTAGATTCTGTCTCCTTCTCTCTCTCTGACCCTCCCCTGCTTGCACGCTCTCTCTCACTCTCTCTCTCTCTCAAAAAAAAAAAAAATTAAAAAAT